TATATCTATATATGTACTCATACATATAGATATATGTGTATATCATATCAGTATCTTTTGACAGTTTTTAAAGTACCACGTTTTTGGGCCAGCGCCACGGCTCACTAGGCTAATCCTCCGCCTAGCGGCGCAGGCACACCGGGTTCTAGTCCCGGTCAGGGTGCCGGATTCTGTCCCGGTTGCCCCTCTTCCAGTCCAGCTCTCTGCTGTGGCCAGGGAGTACAGTGGAGGATGGCCCAAGTGCTTGGGCCCTGCACCCCATGGGAGACCAGGATAAGTACCTGGCTCCTGGCTTCCGATCAGCGTGGTGCGCCGGCCACAGCGCGCCAGCCGTGGCGGCCATTGGAGGGTGAACCAACGGCAAAGGAAGACCTTTCTCTCTGTCTCTCTCTCTCACTGTCTACTCTGCCTGTCAAAAAAAAGTACCACGTTTTCACATTTGACCTTCATACCATTCCCAGTGATGAGGTTAGGTTGGGTAATATTATCCCCATCCCGCTGAGGTTGACTCTTATCCAAGATTGTAGAGCCAGATCTGGAGTCCAAGATCTTCTGGCATCCTTCTTCACACTGTATTTGTGCTCCTGGATTTCCTGGTTAGTGATAACTAAGCCTTTTAAAGATGAGCATTGTTATAAAAATGCTGCTCTTTTGAAACACGAGAGACTGAAAACAGTATTTCAAGAGCCATCCAGTCTCTGATGGGGGGAGGTGTATCCAGTTCTTTTCAGCTTATTAAAACAAACTGTGTCATGCCTAGAAGACATCTACTAACATTTTATTTTGGTATCAGTGCATTTCCTTATGATTACACAATGGCATTCCAAGGCAAGTGAGAAATCGGGCTGAGGCCAGCATTGCTGCCTTTTCTGGTCTGAAGTACTTGTGGTAGAATTTTCTAAAGGCATTTAAATATGAATCCCAAAATGTTTCTCTGTAAAAACAAAATGGAAATATTGGTCTTTAGAAAATGATTTTGGTGGTATGTAGGGCAACTGAAGTGCATTGCATTCCCCCCTAAAATGTTAATATATTTGTCCTGGAATGAGTTTTGAAGTTTCTGGAATGTCAGTATGACAGTGTTCCAAATATGGCTCAGCTACTGGTGACCTTTATTGTGACCTTGGGCATACTACTTAAATTTCTCTAGGATCCCATCTCGTGTTACAAATAGGGAAGATACCTACCCACCTTAATGTGAGAATTGCAGAGTACCCTTAGAATGCCATTTCCATGTTTCTTTTAATAGTGATGCATCTTATAGTTGATAGATACATTTAGTGTAGCTTCCACCTCAACCCCAAGCTAATGATTGATTTTGCAGTCAATGAAATCAAGTTGAGGAAACATTAGTATGTCAAGTGTTTAATGCAATGTCAACCGTGATATGCATCCAATAAGTAGCTGCTGTCATTTGTTTTAATTGAGTAGATCTGGTTCCTGTGTTGAGGCCATATCCCAGTGGACAAGTAAAGTCTCTACTGGGATGTCAGTCTGCATATAGAAAACCAGGTATGTGAGAGGGCTACATCTAGGCAGTTAGGGGAGTGCTGGTCTCTGGAAATCTTACCTCAGCTGTGCTTTAGAGAGGCCTGGAAAGTCTCCTTCCAGGGACAGAGTTGGAGGTGTCAAGTGGTACTTTATTAAACAAGTCAGCTTGTCCTTACAGCTCTTTATCTGTAGAGACATCAAGGCTGTCTAACTTGTCTGGTGAGAAGAGTAGAGACAGGGACCTCAGGGAGATGCAACATAAAATGGGCTCACACTATCTTACAGCCTCCTATTTTGAAAATGTAGCCACAAAATTATGGCTTGGTACATACAGTGGCACTTAGGAGTAAAGAGGCATTAACTCTTTCTAACCGATTCTCTGATATTTCGAAGAGTATGTGTTGTGTAGGTGGGTAGAAAAGGAACAATAAAAGCAAATATGGGGGCCGGCGCCGCGGCTCACTAGGCTAATCCTCCGCCTGCAGCGCCGGCACACCGGGTTCTAGTCCCGGTCGGGGCACCGGATTCTGTCCCAGTTGTCCCTCTTCCAGGCCAGCTCTCTGCTGTGGCCAGGGAAGGCAGTGGAGGATGGCCCAGGTGCTTGGGCCCTGCACCCCATGGGAGACCAGGAGAAGCACCTGGCTCCTGGCTTCGGATCAGCACCGTGTGCCGGCCGCGGCGGCCATTGGAGGGTGAACCAACGGCAAAAGGAAGACCTGTCTCTCTCTGTCCACTCTGCCTGCCTCCCCCCCCAAAAAAAGGCAAATATGGGAAATGTTAACATTTGAGAAATTTGGGTACAAGGCTTATGAACATTTCTTTTACTATCTTTACAGTTTTTGTGTGTATGTAGGTATGAAGTTATTTCTAAAGACAGGTTTAAAAAGTATCTTGAACCTCTTCATGCAAGCACAATAAGGTGAAAAATGGAATGAAAAGTTTAATTTGGCACATATCCATCTTAAGGATCTTCAAAACTGTTATGAAAAATATGTAGTATGAGGTAGCTATGCTTGCGATTAAAATTTTTTTGTACTCAAACCTTTTAATTACATTTTCCCACAGATTTTTCTCCAAGTACCTATTTAGTCTGAATAACACACTGTTCCAGGGATGCGTTGTTAAGATATTTAGCCAGACTTTCCTTGTTGGACATCTGATCATTTCCAGTATATCTTCATGTATTTGGAATGGAATCCCTGCCCCCCTTGGAAACAACCCCACTTCCATAATGGACCTTATAGGAATATCACAGTGAATTAACCAACTAAGACCTTATTGAAATTGGTTAAATATGTCTGTTTAGTATTTACCAATCTATAATAAGCCCTCAAAAAATTTCTTTAGTCAGTCTTGGTTCACCCCATGTAATAAAACTGTTTTAAAGCAGTTAATCTTTTGGGTGACAAGAAACATCTTGCTGAGGTGTTGATTGCTTGAGTAATTATGAAGATCAGAAAGTGTCTTAAAGGCACAGCTTTCTGACCTCATTCTGCTGGAAACAATGAGCAGATCTTTTTGCCTCAATTCAACGTGCTTTAGTGTTTTTATTCATTGCCATATGTTTTGACTGGATTCTTACTTTTATTCCAACAACTGACAGGACAAGAGGACCATTTGTCCAGTTTTGATTCACTTTCAACTTCTAATTGTAATTTTTTCTAATGATGTGTGTAAGAATTAGAAACCATAGGACATAAATTAAATTTGACTCTCAAGTGAAAATGGCATTCATTTCTGTGTCTGACATTTGTGTTAAAGTATATTGCTAATTTTTGATCTGGTTTTTAGGCGTCCTTTAACAGTTTGGAAAAATAAAAAGCAGGTCTAGTTGTTTACATGCATAATTTGTGAGTTTTGAGTCCAGTGGGCAGATATAAAGGATACCATTGTTTCTCTTTGGTTGTCTTTGGATTTTTGGACCAAAACTTGTGGCCCCAGTTCAGTGATAACAAACTGCAAACATTTCAATGAAATCATTTCCAGGGCATTTACATATTTTAAAAATTGATCTAGGAAGATCAAATTGCATTTGAATTTTGCCATATCCTTTATATTCAATTATAGGACAGTGTGACTGTTGTATGGTCGTTACTATCCTTCTTCCTGAGAGTAAACTGGAATGAGAGACATGGTGGTTGATAAACCCCAGGTTGTGAATTAGCAGGCAATGCTATATTAAATTATGCTTTGAAGTTAGCAGGAGAACATGAGAAAGACTTTTTTCATCTATTCTCTAGCTTTGAGGTAGATACTGTATGTTTGCAACTGAATGAAAGAGGAATACTTGTGCATAGCTGTGGCAACAATGGAAGGATATGTGTTGAACAGTGCTTGCTATGCTATGCCCAGGGCTCCTGGCTCATGCATTGACACAAAGCAAAAGTAGCTTTTCCATTGAAAACCATGAAGTATGGATATAGTTCAGTATTGTGTTAGATTTAACTTTTCTGATTGTTTGAGCTTAAGAATACGTAGACTGTGAACTGACATTTTCTAGGCCCAGTCTGTGTTGGTGATCACTGCTTCAGTGTTCATTTTACTTGGCTCGCTGACTGTAACACCTGTCTTAATCTCTTCTTGCCTCCATTGTTGCTACATCTTATTTCCTTAGATTTACCAATTTTCTTAAATTTTTATTTATTTGAAAGATAGAAAGTGACAGAGAGATGGGGCCAGCATTATAGTGTTGCGAGTTAAGCTGCCACCTATGACGCCAGCATCCCATATGGGCACCAGTTCATGTCTCACCTGCTCCACTGCTGATCCAGCTCCCTGCTAATAGCCTGGGAAAGCAGCAGAAGATGGTCCCCCCAAAACTTGGGCCCCTGCCACCTACTTGGGAGACCTGGCCATTGCAGTCATTTGGGGAATAAACCAGTGGATGGAAGAGCTCTGTTTCTCTGTCTCTCCCTCTCTGTAATTCTGCCTTTTCAAATAGTCAAATAAGTCTTTTTAAAAAGAATGCAAGAGAGAGCTCCCATCTGCTGAGTCACTCCCCAAATAGCCTGCACTAGCCGGAGCTGGGTCAGGTGAAGACAAGGACTGGGAACTCAGTCTTTGTCTTCTACGTGGGTGGCAGGGATCCAAGTACATGAGCCATCGTTGCTGTCTCCCAGGATGTTTATTAGCAGGAAGCTGGAATGGTATGCAGAGGTGGGAATCTAATCTAGGCACTCCAATCTGGGGTGCAGGCCTTCTATGTGGCTTCTTAACCACTGTGCCAAACACCCACACCTAATTTTCTTGTGCATACACGTCGTCTTTGGAAACTTTTGATCTGAAGGTCACAGTCTGCCGTTGTTGGCAGCACTGCTATTTCCTTCCAGGATTGTCCATCTGATCCCTTTGCTCTTATTTTATCTAGAACGGAAAGTTCCTTACACTTAGCTGGTAAAGGTAGACCCTAAGGTGAGACTACCTATGAGGATGTTGCTGTGTTAGTTCCAGCATCTACCGTCTCTTGCCTTGCATTTTTGAACTAATCTTTTCCTTCTTTTCACTCTTAGCAGACCTACTCCAATGAAGCCCATTGTGTTGAAGAGATTCTGAAGGTGAGTTCATTGTTACTGTTTCTTATTTGAAGAAGTGTTTCGTGAGGCAGCTATATATCCATTTACACTTGTTTTGCCATTTCCAAGCCCTTTTAGATAATCACCTCTTTCCCATTGCCCACCCACACACATACACCTCCAGGAGCAAAATAAAGCAAAACAATAACAAAGGGACTCTTGAAGCATTATTTGATTTCCTAACAGATTGTATTGATTACAGCGGAGTCTACAAACTGCCAGGCCTTTGGACCAGAATTTTATGGCATCCCAGGTGTTTCTGGCTATACATAAGCCCCAAGAGAGTTGCCTACTTCCCAGAGAGGAAACCATCTCTATTGATGTCGCATGGGAAGCACCAGTGGTTAAAACATACTTGGTTGGTTCATGGTGGTGGTTTTGTAGATGTTGCCTTCTATGGATGGCCTTTTCTCCAATGAAACCATGAAGCTTTTAAAGGGATGAAAAGAGTAGGAAGTAGGTGGACATCTAGACAGACCTTAGAGGTTATTTTTTGTTTTTGTATGTTGAGACTGTGCCATGAACGTTGGTGCTCTTCAACTATATTATTGAATACGTTACCCATTTGTTCAGTGTTTCTTGAACAAGAATGACAAATTTGTTCTAGAATTCATTCCAGAGGGAAAAAATGTATAAATTCTCCTCTTCAGCTAGCTTTATTTTTTATCAGAAAAGATTTATACAATTTTTCATGTTTCCCGTTTTGGCTTTTATTTCCAAGAAATCAAGAACTTCATTTTAAGACACACATACAGTAATTGTAATAACGGAGGATTTTGTGTATTTATTTGGTATCCTTCCTCTTTGGTTTTAATTTGCTTCCGTGCCAATTTTAATGATATTTACTGTGCCATTTATTTATTTTTTTAAAAGATTTATTTATTTTAAGAGTTGGCAGCCAGCAGGGGAGAGGGAAGAGGGAGGGAAGAGTAAGTGTGTAAATGCTTCCATTTGCTGGTTCACTCCCTAGATGGCAGCAATGGCCAAGGCTGTGCCAGGCTAAAACCAGGGCTAAGGAATTCCTATTCCCTGCAGGTTTCCAACATGGCCCATGAGAGAGCTGGATTCTAAGTGGAGCAGCCAGGACACAAACTGGCGCCCATGTGGGACGCCGTTGTTGCAGGTGGCAGCTTTATTCGCTGTGCCACAACACCGGCCCTAGTGTGTTTCTGATTTGTTTTTATTTTTTCTCGAAAGTAGTAGGGGAGACGACACATGTGCCTATTAACTGGAATCTCTTCTGTTTATTTTTCCCCTCAGAAAGTACAAGGACTCTTTTTTTTTTTTCTTTTTGTTGTAAAGTATTAATTGATGGTGATGCTGAGACCAGGAATGAATTATTGTGGCTACTGTGTTGGTTACCTTCTCACGTGTGGAATTTTTTTATAGTTAGGATTTTCTGAGAAAGTGACCTCTAAGGAAGCATGGCTTGCACTGCCAAAAATGAGAAATTTTCTGAGCAACTTACTCTGATGGGGGACATGGGCGTCTTAACCAGCATCTTGGCTATGCTAAATGCCTGCCCCAGATGAACATTTTCTAATTTAATAAACTCAACTCATTTCTTCCTGCTGTCCTCACTTAACATCTCTTTAATGAATTTTTACTTGCTTGGAAATGCTTGAGAATAAGTAAGCAAAAAAAAAAAAAAAAGTGTGCTTTCACATGGAAGTTACACACTGGGAAAGCAAATAGAAGGGTGTTTGGCACTGAAGAGCCCATGGACCTTTATATAGTTGAGACTTGTGACCACTGCTAGGGCGTATGTTAGCCTTGGGCTTTGGTTTTCTCGTTTTAAGTGAAGGCCCAGGGCTGTGGATGATCTTTAGGGCCCATTCCAATTTTCCCTGTCTGAAACTTCCTCCTGCCTGTGAGTCCCAGTCTTCTCTTTCTCCAGCAATTTAGTAAGATTGCCAGGAATCCAAACAAGACTCTCTGTGATGGGTGATAGAGGCAGCACAGCAAAAAATGATCATAGAAGATATTGATTCTCCAGGGGGCAATATTTAGGATGGAAGTGTTTCAAGGAAGGGGAAGTGGTGGCTTATAACTCCAACAGGCTGATGGGGTTAGAAGATAGCAGAGAGACACTATTAGCAGCCAGGAAATGGTCATGCATGAGGGTCCAGAGAAGACAGTGTGCCTCAGGGGGCTTATGGAAATAGTTCAGATTTTCTGCTTGTCCTGGTGGAGCCTTGACAGCTTCTTGAGGAACTAACACAATGCTAGGAGACATCACCTCTGTGCAGCATTCCAGTGATGGGAGTACAGTGAGTAGAAGCACCATGCTTTGCTCATTCATTTATCCAACAAATATCTAGTAAGCTTCCAGATACGTTCCAGGCCCTGGGGTGCTATAGTGAAGAACATAGAGTCCTTGGCGTCACAAAGGTTATAGTGGGAAAAATGAATACCTATTATAATGTTTGAGTATTGATATGGAGCTATGAATATTGGAACAGCACACTGAGCAGAGTAGGCAGAGGGCAGTGTTGGTGACAATGCCTCAAGGTGGGATTAAATTGGTGTTTTAGAAGCACTTGATACTGGGAGCAAAGGGAAAGGAGGAGACAGCCACAGAGGGACCTGGAATGGCAGTGCTGAGGAAGATGTCTGGGGCGTTGCTTCCATCCATCTGAAAAGTAAGTGTTAAGATAGGAAGCAAAACCACAGCCTCAGGACTCTGTGTGAGCAGCATTTTCTGTGTAGCAGTGGCTCCAATTCTCCTAAAGCCTAGGTCTCTCTGGCAAATGAGGCATTTAGGGAAGTATATAAATTCTTTCAGACCACTAGTGAACCACTTAGGGACTGAAAGACTTTATGCGCTTTCTAACTGCCTAATTTAATAGCTGGGACAGCCTTAAGCATTGAGAATACAATGGGTGTTGTTTGGGAATAATTAGTGGCTAAAAGCCTACAGACACCACTGAGATTCTGAAGAAATTCTTGGAAAACTAGGTGATGATGCTTTCAAGTGCTTTCTCAGTTGATTGTTACATGTTTTTATGTTGTTGCATTCTAATGGTTCCATACCTTAAAGGATTGTCAAATCAAACAGCAGGGAGCTTTCTTTGGTGAAGTTTTGAAATTGTTTTAAAATTTTAATAAAAAGTTGTAGTGCTTGTATTAAATTGCCTTCTGTGAACCATGCATCCAAATACTTTACATAAACTACCTATATGATAACCTTGAAAAATAAATGGTCTTCATCTCTTCCTTTTTTAAAAAAATTTTTACGTTTTTGGGTTTCAGAGAGACAGAAAAAAATGCAGACAGATCGAGAAAGGGGTCTCCCATTCACTTGTTTGCTTCCCACATGGCTGTGATGTCTGGAACTCTATTTGGCTAGGCCAATGCAGGAACAAGGAACTCAATCCAGGTCTTCAAGTGGGTGGTAGGGACACAGCCACTTGAACCATCATCATCTGTTGCTTCCCATTGTGCACATTAGCAGGAAGCTGAAGTCAGGAGCCAGTGCCAGGAATAGAACCAAGGCTCTTTGATATGGGACCTGGGCATCTTAACTGCTAGGCTTCATGCCTGCCCCTTAGTCCACTTCTTAGTGAGAATTGAGGCTCAGAGTTCAGCCAGTGTACTTAGGCTGACACTGATACTTAAGGTCATTGTTAGCATTCCAATCAGTGTGTCTGACTCCAGGGCTATTAACTCTTTCTTGTATGTTTTAGTACATAATTCCTGTTGTGTCCTAAACAAAGCAAGTGGCTTGTAAGTGGATAAGGAAATGACTTCACTTTTTTGAAGAATTCATTAATTGTGGCCAGCGATTGGGATACAGCATGTTCAGCTGCCGCTTGGGACCTAGCATCAAGTCCCAGCTGCTCCACTCCCAATCCAGCTCCCTGCTAATGCACCTGGGAAGGAGTAGCAGTACCTGGGCTCTTGCCACCCACATGGGAGACTGGGATGGAGTTCCAGAATGGTGTCTTTGGCCTGGCTCAGCCCTAACCATTATGGCCTTCTGGGGAGTGAACTAGCAGATGGAAGATGCCTTTCTGTGTGTCTCCGTTTCTTTCTGTCATTCTGCCCTTCAAATGAATAAAATCTTAATTAAACTGAATGAATTAATTACTTTAGTTAGTTTTACAGTTTTAGCAGAGAGAGAAATCTTGCATCTACTAGATCACTTCCCAAATTGCTGCAACACCCACGGCTGTGCCAGATTGTAGCCAGGTGCCCAGAACTCAATCCAGGTCTCCCATGGGCATCAGAGACCCGAGCACTCAAGCTGTTTGTCAGCTGCCACCTTGGCCTTGCACCAGCAGGAAACTGGATCAGAAGCAAAGGATCCAGGGCTCAAGCCAGGCTCTCCAATATGGGATGTAGGAGTCTCAATCACTGAATCAAATGTCTGCCCCTAATTTGACTTTTAAGTGAAAATTACTCGAGAAAGCCAGCATCAGTTAGGTTTCTTGTTGCTGTACAAGATCAGTCTTGCCTGTGCTGGGACTTTAACCCACAGAGTAGCAGTAGGGAAGGCAAGGGAAGAGGTGCACCAAGGTCAGAAATGACAATACTTATTGGAGCCCCACCTCCAGTTGTTGCGAGGACTGATGGCATTTCTGTGGAAATAGGCTAGCTAGCACCTTGCAAAGTGTGCTGTGCAGTTGAGGCAATACCACATGCTTTGGGGGCACCTGCTCACTAGGAGAAAGTTGCTGTTAATCATTATACGAGTTGACTAGCCAGGTCTGACACATGTGGGAAACAACTTTTTTCTTAGACCAAGAGGGCAAAGAGGCTTCTAGCCTGTACTCTGATCAACCTTTGGCTTCCTAAGGGCCTTGACCCAGGCATTTGGGACCTCATTTTTCTCATCTGTAAAATACTATGGCAGGCTGGAACTAATAATTTCCATGCCATTTTAACCCATTTAAAAAATGAGTGTCCATGCATGTATTAATGATTATTATCTGACATAATGCCATTTAAAAATTTTTTATTTATATAAAGGGAACAGATTTTGTGTATTTCACATAGTTTTAAGAGCATAATGAAACTTCCCAACTGTCCCTCCTTCCCTCTGACAATCCATTGTCTGCAAGTATTCTGCAAACCAAAATAAAATTCATGAATGCACTTGGGAGAAAAGAACTAGGGTTAACATAAGTAGGAGTATATTAATTTGTAAGTTTTAGAAATCCTGCCCTCAACCAAGAAAATAGTAAATATTAAACTTCTCTTGATTAGCAGAAAGGCAGTTTTTCAAAGCCCTTTTCCTCAACTGCTAATGTGTATCGGAGAAGGGTCAAATCCATTAAAACTCTTCCAAGTGCAACAAGTGACCTGAATTACTTGTTTGTTCAAGTCAAACAGGAAAGTTCTTCTTCCTTTGAACTTAAATAATTCCAGGAAATGCAATAAAGAAGCTGAGAGAGAAAGAATTCATTGAGTCGAGATTGCTTTTCCAGCACAACTTGTCGTTTATAGTCTTCATGGTTACATAAGCTCTGGCAATCCCGACTACAGTTTATGTGCTCTGTAACGTTCACAATGTGAAATCCATTCATGCACTGCTCTTGCTTTCTGCAGCCTGATACTTTCCAGTTCTGTATATTGGAGATCATCAGCTTTTGAACAGAGCCCATTAAAGCAAGAGTCTTATTAAAAAAAAAAAAAGTCAATGAAACAGCTTCTAAAACAGATACATTTCTCATTTTCCATCAATCCAATTCAACATTAAGTGTGAAAAGTTAACTTAACTAGCAATGAATGTTCTTTTTATAATTTGCTTTTTCTTCCCTTTCCAAATCTCTTTCCAGGAAATGACCCATTCATGGCCTCCTCCTTTGACAGCAATACATACGCCTAGTACAGCTGAGCCATCCAAATTTCCTTTCCCCACAAAGGTAATTCCTTCAAAGTGTAGCAGGCACTGCACCCACGAGTTAGTGAACAGTCTGAGCTATTGCTGTGAGCCACATGGATGGAGTGTTACTTGTTCAAGTCTTTGGAGATTAGATTAAAATTACAATTAATTTAGCTTCTACCAATGCTTTAGAACATTTTATTCTCCAACTTATGTGAGTAGGACCATTTAGATTTGTCCAGGGCTTATAGCTTATAAAAGCATTTAAGGCTTTCCAGTACATTCTTTCATTGGAGAGTTCTTACTTCATTTTTTTTATTTTTTGCCTTTTTTCAAGATTTATTTATCTGAAGGAGTTATAGAGAGGCAGAGAGAGAGAGAGTGAGCGACTCCCATCTGCTGGTTCACTCCCAAATGGCCGCAGTAGTGGAGCTGGGCCGATCCGGTGCCAGGAGCTTCTTCCAGGTGTCCCACATGGGTACAGGGCCCCAAGGACTTGGGCCATCTTCTGCTGCTTTCCCAGTTCATGGCAAAGAGCTGGATTGGAAGTGGAGCAGCCAGGGCTTGAATCTGTGCCCATATGGGATGCTGGCACTGCAAGTGGTGGCTTTACTCGCTATGCCACAGGGCCGGCCCCAAGAATTCTTACTTTAGAGATGGATAACAGAAATACAAAGAACTAGGTGGAATAGATTGAGTCTGATAAACACACACATCTCATGTCTCATGCTTCCTAAGTGTTCATAGAGTTTAATATGACCAACTACATTAGTGCTGGGTTTTTAACAAGCAAAGGAGCTGCTGACTCTTGTCCCTTATATTTTTTGATCAACAGTGTATTTGAACACTGTCATTTTCCCTAATTTTGATTTGTACTTTCTTGTAACCTTCAGAATATAGAAATAACCCATTCAAATCTGTACTCTGTCGCATGCATATGGCTTTGTATATAAAAATACATATATATGTAGGTACACATCACACATGTGTTTATAGATACTTCTTTCCATGTTGTTACTTTCAGAAAATGTGTTCTTCATAAAACCCCAAATTTGCCACAAGTTAGATATTTTACCTGTGTTCTAATAAAAGCTATTGTGTATTTTAGGGTGATTCTTTAAAAAAAAAAAGATTTATTTATTTATCTGAAAGTCAGGGTTACACAGAAAGAGAAGGAGAGGCAGAGGCAGAGAGGTCTTCCATCTGCTGGTTGACTCCCCAGTTGGCCGCAACAGCTGGAGCTGTGCTGATCCGAAGCCAGGAGCCAAGAACTTCTTCCAGGTCTCCCATGCAGATACAGGGGCCCAAGGACTTGGGCATTCTTCCACTGCTTTCCCAGGCCATAGCAGAGAGCTGGATTGGAAGTGGAGCAGCCAGGACTCGAACTGGAGCCCATATGGGATGCCGGCACTGCAGGCAGTGGCTTTACCCGCTATGCCTCAGAGCCGGCCCCAGGGTGATTCATTGTTACTGGTTTCTAATTAAAGCATTAAATTTGTAAAAATATTTTTGTTCAACACCAAGGGAAAAATAAAGTTTAGGCAAGAACAGAAGCAACAAAAACCACTGTATGTAAAGACGAAATAAATTGGTGTTGCAACCTGTGCATCAAAAATTAAGTGAAGACTGAATAGAGGGAGAGATAGCTTTAAGGAGCATGTAGGGAAGTGTGAATTCTAGAATCTGTGTGGTGGGTAGTGTGAGTGGTCTCTGTACTAGCAACTTGGTTTTTCTATATGTCTGAAAATTTTATAAAATTTATTACCTTTCAGTATTTAAAGCTCTACAGTTTTTTTTTTTTTAGATATGTGAACCTTAATATTTTTGTAACTAGAATTTGTTTTTTCATTTTTATTTCTAGGAGTCTCAGCACATTTCTTCTGCAACCCAAAACCAAAGTAAGTAAATATCCAGAATGTGAAGCATAAGTTTTTCTATGTAGTGTAAAAGCATCAGGCAAAAAGTGATCCATTGGGCTGAAGACACGGAGTTCCTCTGTCGAAAGAACAGGAATGGAGAGCAAACATAAAGCTGCTAAGTGGAACTGCAGAGAGTTCATGGATGAAAGCAAATTGCTTTGTCATTACCTCAGAGTGTTGTGACTCTGGAATTATATACAATATTAGATTGAAGTGTTTTGTGTGATTCTTGTATTTTTTGGTTAAATTTCTATAAGAAACGCAGCACAACAGCTTCTCTAGCAGTATTTGTATATATATTTGCTTTGTGACAATTTCTGACATCTTTTTATGAATTGTATAGTCCTCAAGAATTCAGGGGAAAATGGATAAAGCTAATAGAATCCAGCTTTCTCTTCAATAACAATAACCTTTTAGATCAATAAATCCTTTGTGTCCTAGCCATATAGGTAAGGCATGTCAAGTTTTACAAAGTGACTAGGATGTTTGCAGTCATTTAGTTCATCAGAATATGGCAGCAGGAATAGCTACTTGCATAGACAAAGCTAGCCCTCAGCAGGAATTATTAGCTGCCCAAGTGAGGAAGTATGATGACGTGGATGTGCAAGGTGGGTGAGGCGTGGGCACAGGTAACTCCCTAGAGGTGACTCTTCCTTCCCATCTCCTTACCTCATTCCTCTCCCTCTCTTACATTTTTTTCCCCTTTTGATTATTTTGTGGTTTGAACTGAAGAATTTGAGAAGAAAGAAGATTAGAAAAGAAGCAGAGCACCCTTCCTCTAGAACAGGGGTGGGGTGGATAAGCTAGAGAAAAATGGGAGGCTGAGAGTCAGCGCTGGCATGCAGCCTGATTTTGTACATATCATAACATTTTCCTGGGACTTTGCTGTGTCCATTCATTTATTCTGCAAGAAATAGCACACAAAATGTGAGATACTTACTATCTGACCTCTACAGAAAAGGTTTGCTGTTCCCTGCTCTAGGGATCCTGAATAAGTTCATGCAGAGTACTCCTAGCTGTAAATGCCCCAACAGAGAGAAGTAGCCGTGACTTCATTGCTACAGTATTGTGTAAATAACAAGGTAAAATGAACTGAAATTGATGGCAGTTTAGCGAGATTGTGAAATCTTTTTACCCAACATCTTGGCAGCCAACCCCAGGACAGATGTCCAGTCAAGTGGCGCAGGTCTAAAGGGGAAGCCAACTGGGCTGAGAAGAGTTGCTCTGTGGCCCTTTGCCTCCTGCTTCCCACCTTCCTCTGTCTGCCAGAGCTGCCAGCCATGCAGATTACATGCCATCTGTGGGGTCACTCATGTCTTGCCTGACTGTGAACTCTTGGTTTACAAAGAGGCTTTGATCTATCAAACTGTTTGATTTCCCCCCTTCTTAGCAAAATGTAACCTAAAGTGAACGGTTAAGGTCGTTCTTGGCCTGGAATGGTGCGTACCCTTGGCCTGTGCAGCACTGGGGCCTAATTTCTCATTATTCTGATCACATTGGTGGGTCTCCTGGAGGTACTGGCGCAACAGTGCCCCACCCTGCAGTCTTTTATGTTGCTGCCACTTTGTCACCTGGTATTCTGGTGAATTGTTTAGCTTTGTGAGAATGTGATTTTGGGATCTGATTACAGGAAGTGTAGCCATGTGTTGAATGAAGAGAGCTGTGGGGTATGGATGGATAGAGCTCTGGATCCTATGGTACTGGCACATCAGTTTTGGAAGCCAAATAGGGGGAAGTGCAGGGATTTTACTTGTGTGCTGTCTCCTTATGTCCACATTTGCAAAACATGGCTGCCTAGAGATACCCAGAACTTGTAGACCATAGAACTCAGGCAAGGTGACCATGTGGAAGACCTGTGAATGGTCAAAACACTGACTTTACTCTCAGTAATTTGTAGTCCTGGTTCTCGCTTTCTAGTCTGAAGGATAGGCAGTTTGAAGATATCTGTAAGAGCTACTGCCACCATGAGGATCAAGCCATTAATTGCAAATATACAAGGCTCTCCACTTAATGTGTGTGGGAAAGAGCAGTTACCCCTGCCTAAAAGGCACCCACATTTCCTTTCTCATTTCCAGTTCTGTTTTGGTCCCCATTACCGCATGTCTAGACAAATGCAGCTGCCTCCAAACTGGATTTTTCAACTGTGCCTCCACAGTTAACGTTTCCTGCTCCGTCCAGGTCGCACCACGTAGCACCGCTGGATTAATATTTCTGAGGAATCACTGTGTCGTGTCCTACTTAGATCATTGAGAGTGTCATAGCCCAACAAGTAGTCAAGCTTCCCATCCTGGCACGCAGAGATCTCTACAGCCTGATTTCTGCCCACCTTTCAGTGCTGTCCACCGCTGATTCTTCCCCAGCCTTACCCTTCCCAAGTCAGCGGTTGAATTCCTCCCACCTTCACACTTCTCTCCTTCCTGCAGGCCTTCCCCACTTCCCTGCAGCCATCTGTCAGATTTCACTCATCCTCTGTGACAGTTAGTTTTGTTCTTTCTCTAATGTGTCATCTTTGGCCATTACCAACTCATTGAGTGACCTTTCGCTGATCCCCAGGATAGTGAGTTTATGCAATTGATTTGTGTACTTATCTCACACTGCCTAAGGCAGTAGATACTTGTGGGTCTCTTTCATGTCTGTCAGTCAGCTGTGACCTCATTGAGGACAGAGCCTGAAAGACTTCCACATACTGGTATCTACTAGGCAGTCTGCTAGTAGGTTTTAAGGGAATAAGGGAATGAGTTGAGTGTACAAAGGATTGGATAATGGGACTAGCAGTAGGTGGGAGAGCACAGTCAACCAGGGACAGAGGAGTCACACCAAATCCCCCATAAATGTGAGGAGTCTGATCAGATTGGAGCTGTGAGCAGCCCTGTCATTGGTGCTCCATGTGAACCGCCATCAGCTGTCACCAAGGACAACAAAGTCTCCCCGGCATGCTGCAAGCACTGTTTTTGAAGGTGGTTTTGGTCTATGGACGAAAAGGAGCCTAAGTGTTGGATTGCAGTGGTGAGACTGCACCAGGGGTAGTGTACAGCACTCTGTGTGTCAGAGTGTATACTAAGTGTTTAGTTAAAAGGAGAGAGGCAAAAAAGGGAGCTTCTGAATGCCAGCCTCATAAATATGTGTCATTGTATGGCTCTGATAATGTTTCCCTCCCCTACAGAACAATATGAGACATCTTCAAAAACCCACCCTACTTCTCAGCAGGGGACATCGTAAGTAAAATTCTTTTGTTTGTTAAAAACTTATAACATGACATTGTAGTTTCCTGTGTAAATCCATTGCTTGCCTTTTTTTTTTCTACTTTCAAGTAATGACACTCATAAAAATGCTGCTGCAGTATAAAGGAAGAAATTGAACCACATTTATATGTGTTTGGATTAAGCTCTCTTGTTGAGGTTTTGTGCATCCTAGGAGAGTTTGCTAAAGGGTTTTCTGAAAAAAAAAAAAAAAAGGTTTTTGAGGCATTGTTTTCATATTAATTGTGCAAATGTACAGTCTTGAATAGCTTTGCTTTTCTTAAGGGAGTTTTTGGGGATGTGCACAATTTAAGATTTTATGCCGCTTTTTTGGCCTAGTTTTATGAAAAAGGAGAAAGTCCTATTGCTCAGCTATTCTTTATTAAGTCCAGATACATTTTAGGTATGGAAAATTTTAGACAGCATATTAAAGATTTTTGAATCAGCGTTTTGACCCAATTTGTCATTTCTTGATGGCATTGAACTGTTACTTCTTTACCTTCTTACAAGTAGAAGTGGTGTGGTAGTGGTGGTTAGGAGCTAAGTCAGGAAGCCATTCTCTCTGGGAGTATCTCATTACTCACCAGTGCTGCCTGGTGCTACTCTTAGAGACTTGGCTCTGGAGTTCAAGTTCCAGCTTGCTTCTCTCCTCTCCCCCCGTCCCCCTTAAAGGATTTGTTTTATTTATTTATTTGAAAGGCAGAGTTACACAGAGAAGGAAATCTTCCATCTACTAGTTCACTCCCAAATGGCTGCAGCAGCCAGGGTTGGGCCAGACTGCAGCCAGGAGCTTCACTGGGTCTCCCACATGGGTGCGCGATATTCACCTGATTTCCCAGGTGTATTAGCAGGGAGCTGAATCAGATGTGGAGCAGCCTGGACTTGAAGTGGCACCCTTATAGGATGCTGGCATTGCAGGTGGCGGCTTTACCCGCTATGCCATAACACCTGCACCTACCTGGCTTGCTTCTCTTTTTAGGTACATTGTTTGTTCTTTGGATTGCATGTTTTATGTAAAAACTGTGTAGTTGGACTGAAGCAGTTATTTTATCTTCTTGCCATGACTGAATGTGTGACCTAGTTATAGGCATTGTTTGCTGAGGCCAGCTCCTTGATGCAGTTCACTTTCATTTCCCCATAGCGAAATGAGAGGGAAATGAATGGCTTTTTGTGATCCTAATGTATTTTATTTGTGAAACTGATACTTAAGGAGTTTCAGTTTTTAACATTCTTTATTGGCAAAAACATGCAAAGTTAGATCAGTTTTCCCCTCCACTTTTCTTTTACCTTTCTCTCTCTCTTGCTTTTGCCCTCTTTCAAAGATTTGTTTGGGGCCAGCATTGTGGCTTAGTAGGCTGAGCTTCCACCTGTGGTGCCAGCATCCCATATGTGTGCTGATTCATGTCCTGGCTGTTGCTCTTCTGATCCAGCTCTCTGCTTATGGCCTGGGAAAGCAGTGGAAGATTGCCCAAATGCTTGGATCCCTGCACCTGTGTTGAAAACCCGGAAGAAGCTCCTGGCTTCGGATTGGCCCAGCTCTGGATGTTGTGGCCATCTGGGGGAGTGAACCAGGAGGTGGAAGACCTTTCTGTGTGTCTCTCTCTGTAACTCTTATGTCTCAAATAAGTGAATTTTAAAAAATAATAATTTTTAAAAGATTTATGCATGTATTTACTTATTACAGAGAGAGAGATTTTCCACCTGCTGGCCCACTCCCCAGATGGCCTTAGTAGCCAGTTCTGGGCCAAGCAAAAGCCAGGAGCCAGGAACTTCATCCAAGTCTCCCACGTGGGTGCAGGGGCCCAAGCACTTGGGCCATCACTGCTGCCCTCCCAGGCTCATTAGCAGGGAGATTTATTAGATTTGGAGCAGCTTCTGGGACTCAAACTGGCCCTTGTGTGGGATGCTGGCATCGCAGGTCCAGCTTTACCTACTATGCCACAATGTCAGCCTCTCCCTTTTCTCTTATTACTACTCTTAAATTATTTTTTAAAAGATTTTTATTTTATTTATTTGAAAGGCAGAGTTACACAGAGAGAGGGGTCTTCTGTCTGCTGGTTTACCTCCCAAATGGCCACAACTGCCGGGGCTGGGCGAGGCCGAAGCCAGGAGCCAGGAGCTTCTTCCAAATCTCCCACGTGGATGCAGGGGCCCAAGGAATGACTTTTTTTTAACATTTATTTGAAAAGCAGATTCTCATTCTCCCTGTGGTACCTCCACCCCTACCCCCTACCTCTTTCTGGCTCTCCTTCTCTATAACTCTGCCTTTGAAATAAATGTTAAAAAACAAGGAAGAATGGAAGGGTCTTAATACGCAGAGTTCTCATTCAAAAGCTTCTCTTTAATAAGAAAAATTCTTTGAAAATGCTCACAGTCTTTTAATTCCATGTTCCTGCACACTTTTTAAGGCCCCCTTGTGTCTCATCCAATGTTTTCTTTATGAAATCGAAATGTGGATGTATACATTATCTAGAAAAGAGTATTCACACTGATAATACATTTAGCGAATGGGTGTGAGTGGGTGCCTAACAGGTCAGGAGAAGGAAAAGTATCAGGACAGAAGGTAACACTGGAGCTGGTGGAAGTGCCAACGTGAAATGGAACTCTGGAAAAAGGGAATTGCTGTTATGAACTTATTTTTAATGGAGATGAAAGGAAAGTGAAGTCCCAGTTAATCTGTGAAGTGCCATCATTATTCAGATTTAGTATGACAAAGCTCTTAGTGTTAGCAGGCTAATTTGATCTAGTGCCAGTGTTAGGGTTCTTTCACATAAAGCTAAGTTATTTGAGTGGCACATGAAGTGCCAGGAATATATTCTAATACACTTGAATGTCAGAGCAAATTGTTAATTAAAGGGTCATTTGTACTTTGGTTTGAAAAATCAGTTTAGGTCTTAATACTGTATCTCTCAGAGTTGCTAGGAGTTTGAAATCCTTGGGAAAGTAGAGTGGCATATGAAAGGATAAGACAAAGGCCCAGGAGTATGTCTGTGAGCGGTGTGTGTAGCTTTTTTCATCTGTCAGCCTTGGGTTGGGAGACTGGTTGAGGTGGAAGAATGCAGATGTGAAAGAAGCAAATGCAGTTTTCATCTCTGTCATTTAAGCTGTGGTTAGTTCCCAGATATCTGAGTTCCTCCTTCAAAGCGGGGGCAGGTAACTGATTAGCTAGCTAGGGGGTTAGCCCCGTGCCCTTAATTCTAGGGGAGGATGTATTCATATAAGGGCTTCTGGCTTTAGAATTCTCTATTCCATGGAGTTTTTAGGGCGAAGTATAAAGTAGTTCCTTCCCTTATACAGTTGTTATGTCCCTTTATATAATTGTGGATACTTCTTTCTGTGCCAATTCTGTTTATTGGTGTCAGTGCATTTGTCAGCTTCTCAAAAGGGATGATATGTTAATATTTTAGACATTATAATGCAGTATATTTGGTTTTTTGGGTTTTTTTGTTTGTTTGTTTTTGTTTTTTGACAGGCAGAGTGGACAGTGAGAGAGAGAGACAGAGAGAAAGGTCTTCCTTTTGCCGTTGGTTCACCCTCCAATGGCCGCCACGGCCAGCACGCTGCGGCCCTTGCACCACGCTGATCCGATGGCAGGAGCCAGGTACTTATCCTGGTCTCCCATGGCGTGCAGGACCCAAGTACTTGGGCCATCCTCCACTGCACTCCCGGGTCACAGCAGAGAGCTGGCCTGGAAGAGGGGCAACCGGGACAGAATCTGGCGCCCCGACCAGGACTAGAACCTGGTGTGCCGGCGCTGCAAGGTGGAGGATTAGCCTATTGAGCCGCGGCACCGGCTAATGCAGTATATTTGTATTATCTTAGCCAACTTGCTTCTCTCTTCCTTACCCTGAAATTGCCAAGTTCTTACAAAAGGTTGCTTCCTGTGTTTGCTTATTTTTTTGCCTCTGAAATCATTAGCACTTACTTACAATTAAAGGTAGAAATTAGTTGTTAACAGTAAACTTGAAATTGTTATTAATTATGAGGAAGGTTTCTTTGTTTTTGTTATTTTTAAGATTTATTTGTTTATTTGAAAAGCAGAGAGACAGAAATCTCCCATCCGTTGGTTTACTCCCCAAATGGCAGCATCAGCTGTATCTAGGCCAGGCCAAACCCAGGAGCCAGGAGCTGCTTCCAGGTCTCCCCTGTGGGTGGCAGTGAGCCAGTCACTAGGGCCATCTTCTGCTTTCCCAGGCACATTAGCTGGGAGCTAGATTGGAAGTGGAGAAGCCAGGACTACAGCAGCACTCCAATATGGGATGCTGTGTCAGAAGCAGGGGCCTAATCCACTGTGCCAGAACACCGGCCCTGCAAAGGTTCTTTGGAAATGAATGAAGGAGTTTTTAAGTATTTTGATGAAGTGCTAAGGAAGACTGTTCTAACAGTTTATTGTAATATGAATCATCACATCAGGACGTAAGTATTGGTTGAAATGTCCTAGATTTAAGTCTGAAGAGATAATTTTTTAAGAGAGATAAGCCTTTATTTCCTTGTTTCACAAATAAAGCTGCTTTTGCTGGTTGAAGAGACCAGATCCGACATCTTCATCCGACTCTTCTGACTCTTCCTTGGCCTCCACCTTGGCTGGGGCTGCGGTAGCAGCCGCAGGGGCAGCAGTGCTGGCCGCAGCCACAAATGCAGATGGATCAGCCAGGAAGGCCTTGACCTTTTCAGCAAGTGGGAAGGTGTACTCAGTCTCCACAGATAAAGCCAGAACGCGCTTGTACCCATTGATGATAGAATGGGGTACTGATGCAACAGTCGGATAACTGGTCTGCAGACACACACTGGCAACGTTGCGGACACCCTCCAGGAAGCGCGAGTGCAGGGCTTCCTCAGTGATGTCCAGCACTTCGGGGTTGTAGATGCTGCCGCTGTCAAACACTGCTGGATGATCAGCCCAAACGAGAAGGGCCAGATGTTCAGCGTATTCAGCTGTGTGATTTCACTGGCTCCCACTTTGTCTCCAGTCTGTA